TATTTCTCACATTACGATAAAAACAACGTGAATTTTCTAAAAGAAAACTTAATTTTCTTTCCGTCGATATATCCACGGCGTTTTTTAATTACTTATCGAACTAATTTCGGCATCCGTTTTATCAGCACTCCCGTTATTTCTCTTCCTATTTGGATCCATGCATTTTGTAGTACGTGGCTCATATTTGGAGAACACATCGGGAAACGATGCGTGTCATGCCGCGGGAAGAATATGAAATGAGCTCGGCGTGTACGCTTTCAACGAACGAAATGCGATAAATTGGTAATCGAATTGCATAAGTAACAATCACTTAATAACTCAATATGCACTTTCAATATGACGATACGATGCCATAAAACTCGCGGATATTAACGAAACCGAATAAAAAATTACGATTTATACCAAATAATCAGGTGTCCCGTTACTTTTGGAGGAGCAGCGAATATATCATTTTGTATGTAATTAAGTATTTACGTGATCTTTCGTACGAACTTTCGCATGTATACGTGAAAAATTAGATCCGTCGATTAATTAACGATTAAATCACGCTTGCTCGTACGTAGTTGCAACAAAACTGCGAAGAGAAATATAGTAATTGACGCTCAGATTGTTGGACAGACAAAAATGGACGATTTGGGAAGAGCAGATACGATTATTATTATTATTATTATATATTATTACTATATTACTATATTATTATATTATTATATTACTATATTACTATATTATTATATTATTGTATTATTGTATTATATTATTATATTATTATATTATTATATTATTATATTATTATATTATTATATTATTATATCATTATATTATTATATTATTGTATTATTGTATTATTATATTATTACTATATTATTATATTATTATATTATTATATTATTATATTATTATATTATTATATTATTATATTATTATATTATTATATTATTATATTATTTTATTATATTATTATTATATTATTATATTATTATATTATTATATTATTATATTATTATATTAGTATATCATTATATTATTATATTATTATACTATTATATTTTATTCTATTATTCTATTATTATGTTATATTATGTGCAATAATCCGAGCGTCGATTAGGAGGAATTCACTGTAATCGCGACAAATGAAACGGCGCCCTACAATAGATTAGTCGCACGAGCAGCGTGCATTTAAAAAAAAAAAGTGCGCATTCGCGTTCGATGCTCCATCGCGGCGTCAATTCGACGGGGGAAAGGACGAAGCGATTCGCGCCGGTGTGGTCTTTTTCCTGCATCGCGGGGACTGGCACGCCCGGTCCGGTTCTTTTGAAAAATCCTCACCGCAATCGATGCTCGACCACAGCGGCAATTCGACGCCAAAGGACGTACCGATTCGCGACAATCTGGATGAGAGTTGAACGAGACTGCTATCAATTAATGTAAAATCGCGGCGCTTTGTCCGCCGCGCTCGCGATTATCCGCTCGTTTACGATCGCCCGGTTCCGGGGGATGTTTCAGGTGTCCGCGGCACGGCCCGGGAATGTTTGCCCGTGAGACTCCGGTTGGTTTTTGTGGAAATTGGCCAGCGCGGTAGAACGAGTGCGGTAGGAAATCCGCAGCGAAAAGGATCCGGATGGTTCAGGGGAGAACAACCATGAATGGGGCACTTTTGTTCGCGACAAGATGACGAAAAAACTTCGAAAAAAGAGGTGTTCCGTTGTTGCGACAATGCATCTGCCAATGAGTTTCACTTGTGTTTACTTGTTTTATTATTCATTCTTTTTTTAAGTGCATTCTATCCATGCATAAAATTTAAAGTGCATATTTTCGTGAATTGGTTGTATTGAATGGGACAGGCAAAGTCACGAATAGGACAGTGTTAGAAAATACAGTAATCTTGGTATTAATCTTCCAAGATAAATATAATAATAATAATAATAATATTAATAATTATTTTGTATAATAATATAATATTAATAATATAATAAGTAATAATAATATTAATAATAATAATACTATATAATGATTTTAAATTACGCGAATGTTTTTTTGAAATCTTTAGTTAACACGTTCTGTGCCGAGCTGTTCTTACTCGAATTTTTACACTGGCCACTTGATATTTTACTAAAACTATATTATATAATTACTATATTATGTAATTATTTATTATCGAATATATGACAATTAGTATTTTATCACAATAAACATTTTAGTACTTTGTCACAATGAACACTTTAGTGTTTTATCACGAGAAATAATCTTTTTAATAAAAAGAAACTGAACAAAATTGATAACGATTTCTAGGTAAAAATATCTTAAAAATTATCCTGACAAGTGTCCTAAAAATTAATGGCATAATAAGTATAATAAAAACAAGTTTCTGTTTCTCAACTAAATTATCTCGAAACACATTTCTAATATATCACAAATTTTCTTTATTGTTTATTTAGTCGCGACCCATCCATAAACATTCTTTGTGTCCCATTCATACATTTGGTAAGTACATTAAAACTTAAACTTGTTTGATTGCTGCAATAAAAAATAATATACTGTTCGATGCTACATATCAACATTCTTAAAAAAAGATACCTAATCAAATGCAACGAATAAAAACTCGGTAAAAAGCGACAGTATTTCGCACATCGATACAAAAAAAAAAGAAAAATGTTACTTCCAAATACAAAAAAGAATTAATCGTTCGCCATAATCATCAACTGTTAATTATCAACATATTCCACTGTTAGCGGCTTCAAATTACGTGTGACCGGATACGCAATAAATAGTTACAGAGCAAGTATAATTCAATTATGAAAGGACTCATAATTTTTGCGATAATGCTGATGCCCCGTTCAATGTGTACGTCCCATTCATGGCAGTTCCCTCCCCTATTTCGTTCGATACTCACCAGCGAGCAGCTGCAGGCCGCCAAGCACCCTGGTGTGCTTCGGTGTTTTCAGTATGTGCGGTAGAAAGCTGGAGGCTGCGGCCAGCAAGGTGAGCGCGCCGATCACTGCGATCGCCACGCCGATCCCCATCGTGACGGTGCTCGCCTGCCACCAGGCGCTCGGTATGTCCCAGAAGCTGAAATCAAACCGGGGGAGGGCTTTGAATCACGAGTCCTGCGACCCACTCGGCGAACGGAGGTCCCGTTCACGGAATTCCGCGGATAATTGAATGTCGGCCGCGCGCACGAACAGCCCCGAACGGGGAGAGGACCTAACTCGCAACTCGAAATTAAATCGAAACTCCATTATGGAATACATCCGCGCGCGTTCGGAGCACGCGCTCGTTAATTCCGGGCCGTTCTACGGCTCCTAGCGGCTCTAGAACCGCTGCCTGGCAATTCCGAATCTAAGAGAGCGACCTTTCTCCGCCCTCTTTCCAATCGTCTCGCCGGCGAAACCGCCGCGAAGTGCTTCCAATTATTTCTCGCGAGGAATTATCGACGTTGCCGGAGCGATTTACACCGTTTAGTTATTTTTTGTTTATTATGCGCTGCACTGTTGCGGCAACTTTCTCGAGTCCTGTAAATTTGTCTCTGTCGCTCGTGGTTAATTATCATCATAATTATCATCATAATTATTGGGAAGAGGAGATACGATTATTCAAAAATGTCTCGCAATCCGGAAATGGCGGGTTCTTCGGGTCATTTGAAGCAACTTTTTCCTTTGCAAAAATTTTCTCCGAGGCACCGTTGACGAGTTATTAACGAAAAACAGTGACCAATGAGAGGCGAGCTCGGCTGGCGCGAGGCGACCGAGCCAATGAGCGGAACTGGGCTTCGCGCGCTGGTTGACTGGGCCGCCTCGCGTCAGCCGTACTCGATTCTTATTGGTCACAGTTTTTCGTTAATAACTCGTTAACGGTGCCTCGGAGAACATTTTTGTAAAGGAAGAAGCTGCTTCAAATGATCCGAGGAACCCGCCATTTCCGGATTGCGAGACATTTTTGGGACACCCTAATGTATGGTATAGTATATCAACATTTTGTATACGGGATGTCTCAACTGAAGATGGTCATGTGAATATCTCCGTCATCGTTGGAGATATTTAACAATAATTTTATTGGCAAAAGCGATGAGGGAAATGGTACAGTTTTTCGAAGTGCAGTAGAACCTTTCTGACAATAAATTTAGATTTTCAAATGTTCCGTTAAGTATCGTAGAAAAACCAACGCGTTTAACCCTTTGAACTCGAGTGGCGATTCCGAGGCGCCATCACAAATTGTTAGATTATAATTTGAAAATACTTTTTAACATCATCGAATTTGTGTTTATATTTAAGAAACTGTACGAACTGTAATTGTTGCTTGGGTCATAAAATTCAATGTCGTATGCATAAAATGAAGTAAATTATATCAAATGGAAGTACTATAGGTCGGAGAAACTATTTTAGACGTCGAATTAAAATGACTTAGAGTGCAAAGGGTTAATTGTAGTACTTGAAACAATATATTTTGGCAATATTCATACGAATTATATTCGTATATTATATTCGTAGCTAAAAAAATGAACCGCGAGGATCGAATAATCGTATCTCCTCCTCCCAAATTGTTCACTTTTGTGGACAGTCTGAGCGTCAATTAGAGAGACATTACTGTAGATATTGAGACAATAATTCGGATGTCACAGATGGTTCAGATAATCGAGGATCCATTAGGCTGCCAAAGTCCATAGTGAACATGTTCCGGTCCGTATACAAAAACAATGTTTCAACAATGAGCGGCGACACTGCAACGTTGCCGGATTGGCGTAAAAGTCGTCGCAACGTAAACGGACGCCGAGATAAACAACGCCTAAGGATGGGCCTCGATTCGTTTTGCGGGTCCACATATCGCGTTACCGTTCCATGTAAACATAAACGGACAGGCGTGTTGCACCGTCGCGTTTAATAAAACCGATGCATATAGATAATCCGACGCGATGAATAATAACACAGAGAAAGGCTGCGTCGGAATTGCGGGGACACACGCGCGAGGAAAACGGTAACGAAATTCGCAACAGAGCGCATTACGATGAAAATCGGCTCCGCCCTTATGGTGCGGCAGAAATTGCTTTCAGAGCCGTAACATTTCGGTGCTGAAGAGCCGATTTGTAAAATTGATTCTCATAAAAGTTTCAACGGTTCTCATTACGTTGAGTCGCTGAATCGAATGAATGAATCGCCGAGAAACACGACACAACTGTTGAATGGCCGCGACCAACGTTTTTCTCGTTCTTGTAACTCGCGAGGTACACAATGCCGTGAATTCGTTCCTTCCACAAACATGCTTCCCGGTACCCTGCTGCCCGTTTGTTCGCCAGACTATGGACGTTTACGCCGAATAAAAATGCTTCGCGCCGCGCGAACCTTGGCTTCTTCCTTTTAACAATTCCATCAAGTTACCAGTGACCTAAAAATATTGCTGAATTATTTGCCGCCCGCGTCTTTTATATAGACCGAGTCTATTGGACTCAGTCTATTTATATAGACTGAGAATCACGCACACATTTTCAAGCGACCTAGAAATATTGCCGAATTAATTGCTACGTGCGTCGTAAATAGACTGAGAATTTCACAGATTTTCTTTAAATAAATCATTCCGATGTTGTGGATCTTTGTGCCAAATAAAAATGCTTCGCATGGAATAAAGCTTATCTTATTTTTTTTAACAATTTTACCAATTTATTTATATTGATAATTCAATTTATAAAACTATTGTGTAGTATACTTAAATTCTACTATATATACAGTAGAATTAGTATACTTAAATACTATATATAGTAGAGAGAATTAGTATATTTAAATACTATATATATAGTAGAATTAGTATACTTAAATTCTACTATATATAGTAGAATTTACTATATATATTTCTACTATATATAGTAGAATTTAAGTATACTATTATAAGTATTCTACTATATATTCAATTTATAAAACTATTGTATAGTTTACTTAAATTCTAATATATATATATAGTAGAACTCTACTATAGAATATATAGAATTTTACTATATATATATACTAAAATTTAAGTATACTATACTAAACTCTACTATAGAATATATAGAATTCTACTATATATATATAGTAGAATTTAAGTATACTAATTCTACCATATATATAGTATTTAAGTATATTTGAAGTATACTAATTCTACTATATATATAGTAGAATTTAAGTATACTGTACAATAGTTTACTTATATCAAGTACAAGTAATAGTTTACTTATTACAAAAACAATTCTACTAACTATATACTTAAATTCAATTCGTTTAAAACTATTGCTGAATTAATTGCCGATTATGCCACAAATAGGCCGCGAATATCGAGCTTCCTCCTAAAACAAATCGTTTCGATTTTATGGAACTTGGAAAATTGCCGGATCGTCAAAGTGACTTTCTCATCTACTTCCTACGACCTCGAGCATGAGAACTCGACCTCTAAAACTCTCGAGTACTTCTCAGGGAACCTAAACTACCGGCGGCTTCGCGAGTACGAAAACCCAATTTTTAAAAATTTAATCTGCTTCTCGATGGTCCAGAACTTCTATGGCTCCAAGTACGGAAGCCCAACTTTAAAAAATTGAAGATATTTTTTTGATGGAACTGAATTTCTACGGTTTCGGCTGCGAAGTCCCAACATTCGAAAATGGATCGTGAAGCCGAACTTCTGCAACGTCGAGCACGAAAAACCGAGTTCGAAAAATGGAAACTATGGTGGAGGGGCAGTTAATTACCGCAGCCTGTGAGCAGTCTTCAGGGTTTGAATATCAAGAGATATCTCCACCGAATGTCAAGAGAAAGAGAAAAAATTCTGGAGCCAGTTACCGTGTGGCTATGATCTACAAAAATCAGTTACTGCGTGCTGTATCAAAAAATAACAAAAAATTAACATAATTTTCGCGGTGTTTCAAGCGATTAACAAAAATTGTCCCACAAGGATTGCAAGATAGAATTTATTGAAATTTTTCCCAATTTTCATAAAGAAATATATTCAACCATTTTTAATGGAAGCAGCTTAATAACTTCGATAATTATAAAATAAAAATTGTGAAACCGATCATTTGACTATTAACAACTTATTTTGCAATTCTGCAAACTATAGAGCTTTTCAATGGAAAATCCTCGAATAAATTACATCATCGGATCAATTTTTATCATAAAAACAGAATCTAAATAAATTCGATCTTCTCACTTTTATTATAAATTTAGTGTTAACCCTTTGCATTCGAAGCTATTTAACCTGTAAATCTGAAATAATTTTTCCGACTCACAGTATTCACATTTTATGCCCAAAGTGCATTTTATACGCATGAAATTAAATTATAACTTACACGACAGTGTAACAATCTAACAATTTCACAGTTTTTTAAATCTAAACTTTGCTAATATAAAAATTATCCTAAAACATAAAATAAAAAATTGTATTGTTGCCTCAAAGTCGCCATTCGACTGCGAATGGTGAATTTTAACGAATAAATAATCAATCGAACGTTAACGAAAAGCAATTGAACGCGTCTTAATTAAAATATCACTATAATGATTAAATATAACTGAATTATATTTCTCTAATAACTAAATCCAATTATAACTAAATTAAATATTTTCAATAAACCTAAATAGAAATCAAAATTAAATTATTATATACAACAAATTAACCCCAAATTTATTAATTACCAATAAAATCTATCCTAAATAAATCTAATTTCAAATGTAAAATTATATAACCATTATACTAATTAACTGCAACTCAATTATTTTTCCTAACAATAATTACCCCTAACTTTATATTAGAAACTAAATTCAATTACAACTCAATTATAAATATAATTTCGCCAAATACTTATACAAATCAAAATTAAATTCTTCTATATTACAAACTTATACCGCACTTATCGATTATCAATAAATCATGATAAATCGCGATAAATCTGAAGTTGACTATGAATATTGAAAACTAAAAAAAATACACGATAATTTATCGGCCCACAGTAACTGGCTCCGCTGCCCTACCGAAAGATCGCGGCGGCGTCGCCCGTTCCAGCCGTCCTCGGCCAGAATATGGAAGGGTTTCGATGTTTACGCGGTGTGGAGGAT